TTCAGGGATTTTATCGATGGCTCCTTTGATGGCTGAAACGGCGTCGTCTACGGCCTTAGTGAATGCAGGTGAGTAGTCTAGCTGGACCTCTTTCAAGAGCTCCGTCACCTTCAGGTCCACTGAGTTCGTGTCTGCAACCGATTCCATTGTTCTTTTGGCTTTGGTTTTGCTTTCGGAGCTAAAACCGAACGTGTAGTTGGAACCTGGTAAAGCTTCTGGTATTTAGGGTTTAGGGTTTAACGGAAGAGGTGGCGGGAGATGCTGGCCCTAACTTATTTATGGGCTAAGCTTCATTCAAAAAGCCCATATAAGCACAGTCCAATTTTCAGTTGGGCTTCATTAAACTTGGAACAAACATAGTTTGCTTGCAACCATATTTTGTAGACCCGCTCATTTTGGTTGGGCCTTTAAAGCCCAGAAACCTTATTGGATGGTACTAGAATAGCCCACACAGTGTTACCAGTCGACGTGTTTTAACATGGATGGACGACGAACATATATTTTAAATTATGATACTAGAAAATATGTGCTTGTGTATCATATGGGTGAAGCACTACATAGTTTTAAAGAAAAAATGCACACACATAGTGTTAACAATTACCTAAAGGTTCGAATTTATTACATCTTCCAATATAGGGTAACCTCAACGACGTGTTACGTGTTTGTAAATATTTCTTTAAACTTAGGACGAATTGAAAAAGGGGATTGGAATCAAATTTTATCCATTTGATTCCCTCTGAAGTTGTAAAGAAGATTCAGCAGTCAAGATCTGGATCGCAATGAGGGATCATAGATCTTCCTTAGCAGAAAAACAAAAAGCGCGACAGTTCCCAGATCAGGAAGTTTATACATATTCCTTAAAAGAGAAATGTGTTGGTTGGTCTTGATGTTCTCTGCAAAAGGTTCAAAAGAGATTCAAAGTGTGGAGGAGAAAGATGTTGTAGAAGAGGGAGAAGAAAGGAAAAGCCTGGCGTTGGGGTATATATCATGAAGACTAGATCTGAGCCAACAACGTACGCTATCCCCTTAGTTTTGGCACTTTTCCACATTCTGCATGTCGGTCGGTTCATCAATTTAGGTACTTCATGTTGCCTCATGTAGCAAATCAACATTCGATTGCCTCAAAAGTTGATTAAGAATTCTTCTGCACATTAAATCAATAGAATTATGTGTGTTTTGTTGTTGGTCAGTTTGTATCATACGTTCAAATAAAAAATAACGCGTTAACGACTATATATTATTACATGTATAAACGTGTTATGTTGTAATACTGTCAATTTAAAAACGTTTAAACGTATCATACATTTAGCAAGAAAATAGGGGAAAGGCATGAAGACTAGGAGAGAGGCACTGTCTTATCCTATGCCTAGGGAGAGATGGAAATGGATCTGCAATGTTATTTTATATTTTTATTTTATTTAGATCATGCATAAAACCCTAAGAAGAAATAAAGAAAAAAGAGGGGAGGAAAGAAATCCTAGTATATTTGAGCTTTATTTAGATCTCCTTGGAGGAGACAATTAGAGGTTTACAGTGTTCCCCATAGATATGAGTAGATGTCATGATACTGACAAGGATTTTAGCTTTCACCTAGGACGGCTTGTTAGGGGGGTTTTCTTCCTTCTCCCTCTCAACCCCCCTTTTCTAAATGCTGGTCCACTTATTACTTCCCTTCCCAATTTTTGCTTTTTTCTTCTTTTTATTTTCTCTCAACACCCACTTGAATATTATTACTTTATTGAATTTATTCTTACCTGGCACCCAACAAAGATCCTCTGGTCAACCACACATTGACCAGCCTCCTAGACCAATCCCAAACCCAACCCAACTCAACCCACCTTAGCTAAAAAGTTAAAAACCAAATTAAATAAATCAAAAACCCGAGAGAGAGAGAGAGAGAGAGGGGAAGAGGGACAGACATTCCAGTTGTATCTTGGTGCTTTTGAGGAATGTGTATTTTTATGGGTTCCAAAGCTCATAATTGATAATATTATTTGCAACTTATAATAAAAACCACACCCATTTGCATGCATGCATGCAAAGTAAATCCCTCTGGGGCTTCCACGTGGCACCCCCATTAGTGATAGTGATGATTATTTATTAATTATTTTTAGGCAGATACGATATTTTTCTGGTCGTCGTCGTTTGGATTACCTTGGAAAAGTGGGAAAAAAATAAAAACCATACCAAGGCCCAATTAAGAGCGGGCCCCACCAAATCCAACGAGCCACAAAACATCATGATTAATATAGGAGAGAGCATATGCGACGATGACTACTTCTGCTTGCGTTGCGTGCATGAGAGGCGGTGAACAAACACTAATTAGATTCTTTTGGGGTTTGGATGATTAAGCAAATCCCAGAGTAACATTAAATACATTATAAATAGATCCGCATTAATTACTCGAATTTACTTGGGCAAATCAAACCACCACATTTCAATTTTCATAGAGCGTGTAATTTACACAAAACAAGAGTAAATATTCATTGTATTTAAGTCTAAACAGCCACCACAACGTCGTCATGTGATGTTATCAATTTATTAAACACGGGAATTCAAATTTGAATATAAAGAGACGGACTTGATGATCTAACCAACTAACCTAACTCACTCACATACATATATATTTAAATTAATTAATAATATTGTAACAAGGCCACCTCGACATGCCACATAATGATGACTGACACACACATTAGTTTATGATTAAGCATAAGACTAGTGTTGCAGGTCACACGTTGAAAGAGGTCGCGTGGGGATGAGAGAAATGCATGTGTTATGTGTAATAGCGAAAAATGCAACACTTAGTGAGTGTTGTCTTGGGCTAATCGTAGTTTGCTTGGTTGCTTGTTTGATTGTTTGCTTTGTTCTCTCTCATTTACAGAGAGGGAATGGGTAGATAGATAGAGAGAGAGAGAGAGAGAGAGAGAGAGAGAGAGCATCTTTTGGAAAGCGGTAGTCGTCCCGTTTGTCCAACTGTGGCCTCACCAATCTCTAGACGATCTGATTCTCTCTGCGTCTTTGGTTGTGTTTTGAATCTTTGATCAAAACATGGGGTCGGGCTTCCAGAGAGGTTTGTTTGTTGGGGCTTGCTTGCCTGCCCGCCCATCATAATATTGTGGGGGCCACATCCTTTTCTTTCTTCCCAATTTTTTATTTTTTTAAATATTTTTAAAAAATTTTGATTTGTTGATTTTACTAACAAGTACCCTTTTGATCTTTTTTGAGTTTCCATCTTTGACGGTTTGACCCAACAGAAAATAAAAAAGAAAAACACCCAAAACTTCCAAAGTGTTGTGTTGCTTTGATGATTGCGTTGTGTCATATTTGCGCAACTTTATCACTCTCTCCCTGTCTCTCTCTTTCGCTTTTCTGTCTGATCAAAATCTCCAAATCTTCAACTATTACTACTACTACTACTTAGTCTTCCTACTCTCCTACAATATCTCAAAAGTGAGCTACCTTGTTGAGTTGTGATGGGTATTTTGTGGATTTTCTCAAACCTAATTGAGAGCCTTGAGGGTTTTATCATGACCAGTTTGGCTTCTTTTTTCCTTTGTTTACTACTTCACGTGATTCCACTGGGTACGGCCACTGCAAATTATACTACTACTAGTAGAAGTACTTTGCTAGGGCTCAAATACTGGCTCCTCCTGTGATCAAATGGACTCTTAGGGCATGGGTCGCTTTTGATGGATGGATTTGACACCCTATAATAACCAAACACAGTTTTAGAATTAGAGAATACTTAGGCGTGTAGTGATGAATTATTAGGTATAGAGCATCGGTGAAAGATTAAGATTCATTAGCAAAATGATTGGCACATCTGTACTTTTTCATTTCTTACCCGAAAAATGTTGCATTAGGTCATCCAATTACGTGTGACTAAAAACAACAACAAATTTCAACTCACGCATGAATGAGTGAAATGATTGGCACATACGTACCTTTTCTTTTCTTACCCGAAGAATATTACAATAAGTCATCCAATTACATACGATCAAACAACAACAAATTGTAACTCACGCGTGAATGAACGACTGATATCATAACCCTACTTTTCTGCCTTAACACTAATTAAGTGACCCACCTAATTTTAATTTTGTGGGTACATACATATATACCTAGTCCAGAGCTCCGAAAAAGAGCGTGACAGGGTGACAAAGACTAACAAGGGCTTTGAATATCTGAATATACTTGTGGCAGAGATAGAGAGAGGAGAGAGGGAGAGATAGAGGGGTAAAATGGTAATTATGAAAAACGTGAATGGGGTGTGTGGGAGTGCGAATGGGACTGGGGAGAGTGAGAGGGAGGGAGAGAGACTATTCCATTTTCCTTGGGAGGGTGGCAGTGACAGAAGAGAGGAGCAGAGATACGTATACGGACAGAGGTTTTTGATGGTATTGGGTTTGAGACCAGACCACCAGACTCATTAGGCCTCGTGATCGGAGAAGGCAGATCTATAGAAGACTGTTCCCGGTAGTCACGTGGGCTCTTTTGACTACCCCAATCTCTCTCACCATTACCAAAACCAAACCCCTTCCTTTTCCCCCACTATTCTCCTCCCTCATTATCATTTTTTGTTCCATTACCCTTTACATTATTTAAAATTTCAATTTCAAACAACACAACAGGTTCGAAATCTATCTGTAAATCACAGTTTGACACACATACAATAACATGACACAATTTAATGCGAACACATGAAAATGTGATTTTAGTGTTTGTAGTTTGTGAAATAATGTACACTTGTTGATACCCTACAAATACTACTAGTAGCAGAGAGAGAGAGAGAGAGAGAGAGAGAAATAGATGGATACTCTGAGACTCAGGCAGAGGAGGGTAACTGACTAGATGACTCAGTCTTCTTCTTGGTCCATCCATTATGTGTTTTTTCTCTCTCTGTAACATGCAAATTGGGTCCCTCTCTGTCTCCATCTTTATCACCCTTTCCCTTGCTATATATATAATACACCTCTCTATTTGCATTTCACGACAACGTGGACTGCAGCTGCTGACTGGTATTTCGCCCTTTTATTAGCTTATAAAGCTACCAGACAACAACCCCTTCTCACTCCTCGCCCTCCTCTCTCTCTCTACCCCCCAAGTTTTTGCTCTTCAAACCCATTTATTATTACACTTCGCTCTCACTTCACTATTTGCCTCTTCCTACTTCTTCTTCTTCAAAAACCCACCACCACACTTTGCTTTCGTTCAAAGCAAAGCAAACCCATTTTGAGAAAACATAAACAAAAACAAACCCAGAAAAACCCACCAAAAAAAGAACATAGAAAAAGAAGCAGCAGCAATTATGCAGAGGTGTAGTAGCAGCTCACATGGGAACATGGCCGGTCCATGTACATGCGGTGTCCTCCACCACACCCAATCCAATTCCTCCTTCTCCATGCTCTTCTCCATGCCCAACCATCACAAGCCGTACGATCATCATCATCATCACCTTCACGAAACGCAGCATGATCATCATAATCACATGTACCCGTTCGCATCCTCTTCCTCCTCTGTCGACTGTACTCTCTCCCTAGGCACTCCCTCCACCCGCCTCACCGAAAACGACGTCGTCCTCGACGACAAGCGGACCCGCAACGAGCGCCGCAGCGTTTCCAACTTCTGCTGGGACTTGTTGCAGCCCAAGCACCACGCCACGTCAGCCACGTCTTCCCACCATCACAAGAACGGCAGCCACCGCAGCGGCGGCAATGGTAACGTCGTATCTAACGCCGTCCATTCTAATAACGACCCCCTCCTCGCCCGCCGCTGCGCCAACTGCGACACCACCTCCACCCCTCTGTGGAGAAACGGTCCAAGAGGCCCCAAGGTACACCACCTAATTCCAATAATGCCATTAACCCATTTTAATTAATTTTGTATTTTAATTTTGTAATGATGTGATTAATTACAAAGTTTATCCCAAAAAAATGATGGGATTCTAAGCTTCTTTTTCGTAATGATTGTTACTTGTCCTCCTAAGTCAAAACGCCAATGATTTTTTTGTACTACATTTTTTTTTCCTACAAATTGTAATTTTGTAACATTTTAATCAAACTAATTTAATCCCTTTGATTTTTGCAGTCACTGTGCAATGCCTGTGGAATTCGGTTCAAGAAAGAAGAGAGGCGTGCCACGGCGGCGGCAGCAAACGGCGCCAGTTCGAGTGTCGTAGGAATGGAGCACAACAGCCACATGTTGAGCCAGCACCACCACAACAATTCATGGATGCCGCATTCACAAACCCAGAAAATGCCATGCTTCTCTCCTGCCATGGGCAACGAGTTTCGGTTCATGGAGGACGACACTGCGCACCACGAAAACGACGCCACCGGCATTCCCTTCCTCTCTTGGCGCCTCAATGTCACAGACAGACCAAGCCTCGTCCATGACTTCACAAGATGAGCTCGCGAAGATGTTGATGAAGAAATATTATTAATTAATTCCATGTTGTTAATTAGTTTGCTTCTTCTTTTTTATTTTTTATTTCTTCTCAAGTTGTTTATTTCTTTTAACTTTTTTTCTTTCTTTATTTCTCCTCATGAGTTACATATAAACCTACTGCCTTTCTGTTCTGTTGGTTCGCTTCATGTTACAAATGACGACCATGAATGATGATCTACATGATAAATGCATGCCCACCGTTTGTTTAACTTGATGATCATGAGCTCAGTTATCTATTTTTATGGGGATTCGAACTTGGGTGCTAGACAACGAACTCACTGGTCTGATCAACTGACCTAACCAACGTCAACTCGGTTATCGTTTGAGTTTGAGGGTATTTTATATAATGATTACACCCTTGTAGGGGGAGTTACTAGTTGTTAGTCGGCTATCACATGAGCATTGAACTGGAAGTTAAAGCTCACCTGAATCGGAGCCATTTAATTCGTACTGAATTTCACAAATATCCGTTTACTTTTTTTTAACATGGGGAATGCATCTGATTGTCCAATGGCGATTGTTAGATTCACTGTCTCACGACTTGGACCGGACATTTCTGAGGTTTCAGTCATTTTGTCTTTTTCTGATCATATGCTGACCGTCCGTACGTCCAATTCAATCTGACCGTTCAATTTCTGTTAAGTTCAGTCTCGTTAATTTTCTTGAGTGTGGTTTTTTCGGTGGTCAGCAAATGGGTTCTTGTGCTGTGGAGGGTGATCAATTTAATGAAAGATGGAAGCATGTTGGTGATGCATGCCAAATTTCCATGCGCTTTTTACAAGTCTCACGGGTTCACGACAGTCAGCCAGCCAGCCTTCTGTCGGTCAAACTACTATGTAAGTAAATTGCCATATTGTCAGGTTTTAATTTTGTAGTATTAACAAACAGAGAGGGAAAAATAATAATTTAAAAAAAGAAAAAACATTTTTACCTTTGTTTGTATCTCGTAAATTTTGTACCTTCGTCACATGCTTGATATTCCCCTTGTGTTAAAGTTTTGGAGGGGGTTCAGTTTTCTAAATTACTGAACCAAATATTTCTCACATGCCATCCTAGCTAGAGGTCAAGCAATGTTAATGCAAGCACGACTAATTATTCTGTTTACCGTTCTCCGTCTTTTACTTTATATATAAATCACTCTGTTTAATGTCTACAACACCCTTTTTTCCGAGAACTTTTCATCTCTACCCCTAAAGGACGATCATACATTAGTGCCTATATGAAATAATTCCATATTATATTTTAATTTCTCATTATTTAAACAAATATATATATATATATATATATATATATATATATATTAATAAATTATAAATCCCTCTGTTTAATGTCTACAACACCCTTTTTTCCGAGAACTTTTCATCTCTACCCCTAAAGGACGATCATACATTAGTGCCTATATGAAATAATTCCATATTATATTTTAATTTCTCATTATTTAAACAAATATATATATATATATATATATATATTAATAAATACATACTTGGGCCTCTCGACCCTCTCCTTCAGATTTTCAAAACTCAGTTTGTGCAACTATGTAGCGTCCAAGATTCAGACCAACTCAATGTATACGGGCCGACCTAATATACTCTTTAAGTTGATCCATTTTGGGCCGACCTAATATATTATTAAGTTGATTCAGACCAGCTCTCTTTCTTTTTATTTTTTTATTAGTGTGGTCCAAAATTGTGATGAATTTAGCATTATTATTAAGAAATGAAAAATTACCTAAAATATGTCCACCTCCTCCCTTAACTTAGATGACCTAAAAACCTAACGCTACCTAAACTATAGTAAACCTCACCTTGTTAATAATGCCACAATGGCAAGGCGACCTCACCGTTGAGAAAATGGGTGAGCTTCGCAAGGGTTAACTTCCGAAAAAAAAATATCTCACCCACCTACCTACCCTAAAAAACCTTGATACATGGCACGTGATAGTAGTAGTATCATATTTTTCGTACTTGAATTATAATTTTCTCTTTTCTTCTTCTTCAATATTGCTTGACGTGGGTGGTTACAAAAGTGTAGTTTAACAACAATCGAAGTCTCGAAGACCATTTTTCTTAATATTTATGTCCTTGTAATTTTTGAAGGGGATAATAATAAGTCTCCAATTTTAAAAAAATATTATTATTTTGGATCAAAATAATAGTTACAATGATTGGTTGGGGCTTATCATGCGACCATGCATTCTGTGAGAATGTGAAGGTAAAGAGTCCCACATTGGAAAGTTGAGAAACCTAGCAAGGGTTTAGGGTAACCCAACTCCTTATAAGTCCTTGCTAGCTTTCTCAACTTTCCAATGTAGGACTCTTTACCTTCACATTCTTATTTGAAGACCGCCAAAGGTGCAACCGTCGACAACTTTTTGATTGGCGCACAAATATACTTGATGTGTCTGATTTACTCCACGTGTTATTTATGCAAATAGTATTATTGATGAGAAAAAGACTTTTATAGTTGGCTCAGTTATCATCTGAAAAACAAATGCATATATTTTCATCTTCTGAATTATAGTAAATTTAGGAGTTATTTTGAGTAACACATCAACAATCATGTAGCATATACTTTTATTTTCACTATTGAAATTTTAAGTTCGAGTTCACAGTTCGGTTGACTAAAATATATATAAAGATTCTTTTTTGAGGTGATTAAACTTCTTAGAAAATTGACCTAAATTCAAATATTATATGTCATTATTAACAAAAAAATATTTGAAACATACAACTAAGAGCATCACCATCGCTGTTCAGAGCATCTGCAATGGTTATGATCAATGCAATTTTAAAAAGAAAGTTGTTAGGATCAATGCACTTGAATCGATTTTCGTACTTGAATTATAATTTTCTCTTTTCTTCTTCTTCAATATTGCTTGACGTGGGTGGTTACAAAAGTGTAGTTTAACGACAATCGAAGTCTCGAAGACCATTTTTCTTAATATTTATGTCCTTGTAATTTTTGAAGGGGATAATAATAAGTCTCCAATTTTAAAAAAATATTATTATTTTGGATCAAAATAATAGTTACAATGATTGGTTGGGGCTTATCATGCGACCATGCATTCTGTGAGAATGTGAAGGTAAAGAGTCCCACATTGGAAAGTTGAGAAACCTAGCAAGGGTTTAGGGTAACCCAACTCCTTATAAGTCCTTGCTAGCTTTCTCAACTTTCCAATGTAGGACTCTTTACCTTCACATTCTTATTTGAAGACCGCCAAAGGTGCAACCGTCGACAACTTTTTGATTGGCGCACAAATATACTTGATGTGTCTGATTTACTCCACGTGTTATTTATGCAAATAGTATTATTGATGAGAAAAAGACTTTTATAGTTGGCTCAGTTATCATCTGAAAAACAAATGCATATATTTTCATCTTCTGAATTATAGTAAATTTTAGGAGTTATTTTGAGTAACACATCAACAATCATGTAGCATATACTTTTATTTTCACTATTGAAATTTTAAGTTCGAGTTCACAGTTCGGTTGACTAAAATATATATAAAGATTCTTTTTTGAGGTGATTAAACTTCTTAGAAAATAGACCTAAATTCAAATATTATATGTCATTATTAACAAAAAAAATTAGAAACATACAACTAAGAGCATCAACCATAGTTGTTCAGAGCATCTGAAATGGTTATGATCAATGCAATTTTAAAAAGAAAATTGTTAGGATCAATGCACTTGAATCGGGAGCCATTTAAAAAGAAAAGGATATATAAATGCAATGAGGGTCAAAAGACTCAAACTCAAAACCTTGGATCAAATGCAAACGTCAGTTCGAAATGAGTCAAAAGCCTTTTGTGTTTTCACGTTCTTTAGTAATTCACTACCCCACTCATAAGGTCCACCATAAAGTTACGCAGACGGCAGCGGTAGGCGGAGTAGTTGATCCAAAGCCAAACAAACTTGTACCTGAAGAGGAAAAAATAATCATCCACATATCCTATGTACACAAAGCGACACCAACATATATAGATTATAAATTAATCCATACCCTCTTGGTCATTATAATCTTAACTATTAACATTTAAACCCAAATCATTACTCTTCATATCCTCCATTTTTAAAGTTTTCATTGCATGTTAAAACCCTTTCAAAATTTCAGCAAAACTGAGAATAATTCTTGAGAAGAAACCTAAAAATGAACGCCAGATATTAAGACAACAATAGAGACTTCGGATCCCTAAACACATGGTATTTCCTGTTCTAGTCTCAAGAGACCAAAATAATACCATTTTTACACGAAACTAATTGTGTGTGTAAATGTACATAAATTATTCACACACTCTTGTAGATTTAGTATTTTGACAAAACACAAGTTCATAAGTTTGATTAAACAAGTTTATCACTCAAAAGATAAACAACGGGAGATTTCGTGCAAGAAACTCTGCTACCGGTGTCTGCTCAATCCACTAAATCACTCACCTACAAGAAGAAAAACTTCACTAGTTTATTACACAAAGAAGCTTCCAAAGCTCCCAATTTACTAACATTATATTCCCCATCTCATTCAAATTTTACATTCCATTAATGGCATAAGCTATAACAACCCATCACCGAACCTCACTTTCCCACCCAGTTTTTAATCCCATCTCTGCGACCCAGCTTTTGAACACATGCTTTGAAAGCATCAACACTGACAAGCCTTTCACAGAGGACTTTAAACAAACACATGGTGAACTTGGTAGCGCTGCAGAGACCCTTAATGCATTGGCTCATGAAAATGGCAGGGGTGCGGCCGTACACGGTGGAGCTCGAACCAGGCACGGCCATGAACTTCTGGGTTCCAAACGAGACCCTCGACAAGCCCAAGAAGGGCCAGAAGCCCAGCGTCAAGGCCAGCCCAACAAAGCCCGTGGTGGTCCTCGTTCACGGCTTCGCAGCCGAGGGGATTGTCACATGGCAGTTTCAGATTGGCGCGTTGAGCAAAAAGTACTCGGTCTACGTCCCGGACCTCCTCTTCTTCGGCGGCTCCGCCACAGATAAGGCGGAACGGTCACCGGCCCTGCAGGCGGAGTGCTTGGCTGCGGGGTTGAGGAAGCTCGGGGTGGAGAGGTGCACGTTGGTTGGGTTTAGCTACGGCGGGATGGTGGCGTTCAAATTGGCCGAGCTGTACCCGGACATGGTTCGAGCCCTGGTGGTTTCCGGCTCGATCTTGGCTATGACTTGCTCGGTCAGCGACGAGACCATGGAGAGGCTTGGGTGCGGGTCTTCTTCGGAGCTTCTGCTGCCCAGCTCGGGGAAGGGGGT